TATCGGTCAAGTTACGGCGTGCTTCCTGCCCTAAGAGGATATTATAAGCTCGATCGCGACGATATCGTATTAAAGACTCGCTGACGCCGAAGTCGCGAGCGGCGGCACGCATAGCGCCGCCATCTTGGACTTGCTGCACAGCAGCTTAGAGTTTTCGATCGCGTAGGTCTGTGCAATCTATCTAGTATAAAAAAATTTCAGATTAGATTAGAATTAGTAAATTTATTCACGATTTCCTATAGAAGGGTTACGAGAGCGCGTCGCGATCACGATGCGCAGAAAGGTGGTTGCGCGGAAATGTGGGTCTGTACTCTAGAATCTAATTAATTAACGGGATCGGTGCGCGGTTACGGCGAGTTATCTAGTTAAGCGCTCGATAGTCCACGTATAAGCATAACTTATCGGTTCCTTTCTTTAGTATAAAGAGTATAAGAGCTTCCGCCGGGCTAATTAACCTCCTAATCTATCTTTTAACTATAGCGTTATCGAGGTATTCGCGGAGAGCTCGCAGCTCCTTATCGGCGAGGTTATAGATAGGTCCCTATAGTAATATTTTATTAGGCTCGAGGTCGATAGCGTGCGTGCGGCCTCTAAGTAGCGGTAACTTACCTACTTTCTCCTTATCGAATATATTAACGAAGTCCCTATATTTAGGCAATAAGGCCGCCGCTACTTCGTTATTATCGCTTTTATCTCCTAGCTTAGGTAGAACTTAATAGGCTATTTCTAACGAGATTACTACCCTTAAGGCTTATACTATATAGTAAATCTACTACGGACTCGAGATAAGTTTAAAGTCTCCCTTTATTAGTAAGTAATTCTATTTTCCTTGTTATTATAATACCTACGGGTTTACGAGTCTAAACTAGTCTAGTCCTAATAATATATTATTAATAAGGTCTATAATAATAATACGAAGTTAGTGCTTCCTCGTAATACCTTAGTCGTCTATAATCTTTACTATCCTTATATACTCGCCGTATATTATTATAGGTTTCTTATCCTTACCCGCTTTTATAAAGGGGGTAGTCGGTAATAACGTATCGAGGTCGCTAATATATCGCGGGTTAATTAAGGTTAGGGCTCTTATATTAAATACCGCCGGTATATTCACCTAAGATCCGCCCCTTCGGACCTTAATTCTCTAAGTAAACGACTCCTTATTATCACGACTAGCGCCTTCCTAAACGCGGCGTGCGTTTAAGGGTTCTCTATTAGTATCCGCTATAAGTATATTACTATATCGCTATTATATTAATATACCGTCGCGGACTAGTAGTAGCTATTAATATTATTAATAGGCCTAGTATTTGTTTATAGTATAGCTATTTATACCGCACTCCCTATAAAGTAGCTACGTATACGCTGACTTTATATAGGAGCCTCTATACTTCTAGTATTCGAGTCCGCGGCCTATAGGCTACGAGGTTAGTATAAACACGCGGCGCGGAGGATTCTCTCCCTCTCGCGGTATCTAGTGGTTCGATAGCTATTATAAGTATTAATAGTAAGGTCTATAGTTATTATAACTTTAGCGGCTGTTACGGTTCTACTAGTTGCTGGCGGCTGGGTACAAGACCCAGCCCAGTTCACCCAGGCACGTGACGCGTGCCCACGAGGACGCACAGACCTCGCAGGGTCTTCACAGGAAAGGGGGACCGTAAATTCCCTCTTCTTTCTCTTTTCCTACCTTATCGTTAGATAGACTCAATCTGAGCTACCAAGTTGTTCCAACAGGGCTTAGCCCATAACAGCGGCTCTAGCGTAGCGCCTTAAGATTATCTATATTAAGAACCTCGCGGCGAAGTTATTACTAGGTCGTAAGGACCCTATTACTAATAATCCGGTCTTAGTATTACTATATTATATTTAAGAGCGCTTAGTAAACTCGGTTCTCTTCCGGGCCCGGATTTAGTAGTCCGGCCTCTATAGCTTCCTAGGCGTTAAGGAATAATTAGCCTTTTTATTATTAGTATATTAAGTAGCTAGCTAGCCGTTTATATATATCGAAGTAGCGGGTTATTACGTCCGGGCTCTAGTCCTTTAACTATTACTTAATTATCGGCTAGGTGAAATATTCTACTCCTCCTTATTACTATATATAAGCTATCTATCGCCGCTTAATACTACTTTTTAGGTATAAGCTAGTATAAAGAACGCGTATCGAGTCCTTAACGAATTAGTCGCTAGATATTATAAAGATACCCTTAAGGTTAACTAAGAAAGACTATAATTCCGACTAGTTATTTCTATAGTATTATAGTATAAGTATATTAATCTTCGTAAATTAATTATAGCGAGCTCGCTTCGGGCGTGCTTTAACTTCGATAGGAGGTATATTCGAGATTAATAAGTTCCTAAGGAGTTCTCTATCGTACAAGGGGTCTTCGCCGCGTTAGAGGGCTTCTAAGTATTTACGCTTCTGATAATTCACGTAGACACAATATACCTCAAGAAGACGTTAGTATAGCTTATCGCCTTCGAGTTCGCTTAAAAATCGCTACGTACTTAGCGTCAGTATTATCTATAAGGCTCTTATTTCCGGCGAGAGGTCTACGCCGTTAGAATTTCGACCTAAGGTCTTTCTATAAGAGATCCTTATTATATAGCTATATCTTTATAACGTCCGCGCGATTAATTAGAGGCTCGTGTTCCGACTATTATACCCTTTACGGTCCTTTCTTCTAAACGTGAGAATAAAAGAGATTAACCTATTAGAACTAGGTTTAATAAAGAGAGTAAGAAAGTATATAATATCGGGAGGGCGTAGCTAGATCGCTATAAATATAGGGTCTTTAGTAATTATATTAATCTCTTAATCTTCCTAGAAGTATTCCTCGGCTACGAAGGTTCTTCCCTTAGTACGCCCCTATACACGTGACCTAATCGGGGCTTCCTAAGCTACTCCTAGCCACAAGGCTAGTGGCTTCAGTCACCCCTGATGCTTGCAATAACTTTGGTATGCAACATGTGCCTGACAAACCGTAACATAAAGCCTTCTATGATATTCAAAGGTTTGTATTACCACACTCGCTATTATAAATCAAACCTTCTGTAATCTTCTACTAGGTTCGATTTAATCCACTCTTTTACAGGGCATTACAGCGCCCTCACGCCTATAAATATAGGCCTTTAGTCACTACTAGATAGTTCTTTTGAATCAAGTCGAGTCATTCCTTTATCTGTTTGTCTACCCTAAGGATCATCGAATTAGTCGCGATTTCCCTTCCACTGCGCCTATAAGAGTACTACTCTTTAATAATATTAATACACTAAATAAGAGTTATTAATATGTAATATTCAAGTCTAGACTAGCTATAAGGTAGGTAGAACAGAAGTTAGTTATTAAACTAAGTATATTAGAATGTTATTAACTTAAGCGGTTAGGGTATAGTCTGTATATATGATAGTAAATCTTACGTAGATAATTATATTAATAGCTATAGGGGCACCCACCACCCGAGTAATGACTACCAATGTAGGAGCTCGTGGACGGCCATCCGCGCGGGTGGTACTAAGAGCCGTCTCTTTACGATAAGTTAAGTCAGGCGGCGCTCTAGTACGGAGTGTAGGAGTAGTAGCAATCTTTCTCTCTCTCTCTGTCTCTCTCTCTTTCCACCTTTTTCCCCCTACTTGTCTACAATGGTTCCGCGGCCCCACAAAGCGCACATCCCCGCCCGATCAGCGTCTACCTTAACAAGTCAACTTTCACAAGTCAACCACCTAAAATCCTACCGACCCCTGTCAGGTCCCCTACCACCTAGTCTCACCTGCGTCGGTACCTCGCCCGCCCGGCAGGGGGCCCATTTGGACGTCAAAAGGCGCCCCTCATCATGCCTATGTATTATTCAAGTGGCCTTCTTATTCAGTTAGCCGCCAAATAGCAGTCTACGCTACCTGCTATCCAGACCTGTGAATATTTTAGTCCTTGAACTTCTAGCTCAAGTGTAGTCTACTCGGTCTTAAGTCGATTGACTTGAACGAGAACGCAAGGCAACGGTTGGGGAATGGCACATGCGGCCTTGCGATTTGTTCGATAAAGCTTGCGTCACTTCGCCGCACTTAGGCGGGGCTCTGTCAGCTGACCGCATCTCCTGGGCTGTCGTGAGACTGGTGGCCGAAGCTTCTCAGGAATCATGGCCAATTAAAACTATCTGCATCCAAGGTACGTATGATGCCACTAAAATAAGGTGATGGTGGAAGTTCCAGCAATTTTAAGAGGTACATATCGCAATATCACACTTGAGGCAGCCGTAACTCGTCGTTCGGACCGGTGGCCGATTGAGGCTATCACCAACTTCCCCCAACGGACGGCGTTTTTTCGTACATCACCAACCTGCCATCCCTGAGAAGCTACACAAGGAGCCCTGGACGACAGATTCGGCGTTGAGGCTTCTATTGAAGCGATGAAGAAATCGATTTCGTGAGGAATTAGGTATAGCGCGTTTTGATCGTGTTGTTGTTGGCGAAAAGGTACCTTCCTTTCTGTCGGGGGGTTGGGGGGGTGGGCGGGGGGGCTGCACGGACCATCAGTCTTACGCCAGTCCAGGAGATAGTTTGATCCTGGCTGATCTTACTACTCTTTAAGTGGACTATGCCAGAAAGGGAGGAGATAAAATATCGGTCTGAAGCTACATCCCTGTAGTTCGCTAGCAAGTGTGTTAAGTTGGTGCATGTCAGACGCTAAAATCCGCTAAAATCCGCCATAGGACTAGGTATGGCAATAACGTGCTTACGATCGCAAGGCATTCCTTGCCAAAGAGGATGCACAGCCTACTCTGGTTGAATGGAAGTAGCAAAGATCTGCCCAGGAACAACTGCTGATGCAGGGGAATAACGACTACTACAGGACTACCATCTAGGCATCTCTTGTAGTAAAGCACGAAACTTTATATGGTAGGGGGAGAATATAAATAACAGCTGAAGTCCCATAAGCTCCTTTAACTCCAAGCACACTTTCTTCCTCACTTTCTCCTCGCTTCATAATAAAGCTCTCAATCATGTGGCTCTCCAAACGTTTCAAAGTTGCCGCTCTTCTTACCAGCTGGGCGGCCAACGCTCTCTGCAGCAGCAGCGACGTCGGCTTCCTCAGTCCCCACAAGAACACGACATGCTACCCCAAACTAAATGTTGAGGAGCTTGCAGCACGGTTGTCCCCCCATGCCGAGATATACGAGCCCGGGTCCGATGGCTTCATCGAGGGTACGCTACGATGGTCTGCGTACCATGCGCCTACTGTTAGCCTCGTTGTTGTGCCGAGGAACGAGGAGGATGTTGCCGAGACTGTGAGTTCGCGAAGTTGCCCTCTTTCGCTATCTTTGCCATACGCACGCATACCGAAGTAGAAGAATTAAGCGGAGACAAGAGATGGAGCGACATAGCTAACGTAATGTTTGATTGGAACTTTCTAGATCAAGTTTGCGAACGAGTTCAAGTCTCCGTTCTTTGCCGTCAACACTGGACATGGCACCATTACATCTCAGAGGAAGATGCGTCGCGGTATCGAGATTTGGTTGGATGAGCTGCGGACTGTCGATATCTCAGAAGACGGCAAGACGGCTGTTGTTGGTGGTGGTGCTCTAACGAAGACCGTGGCCGAGACCCTCTTCGCTGCAGGAAAACAAGCTGGTAAGCTCCCCGTTGATCCGTCTCTGTTGGTTATACCTGGGATGCCGAGACTCATCATTCCTCTTTCTACCCATAGTCACCGGCTTCTGCGAGTGCGTCGGCCTCCTCGGCGCCAGTCTAGGTGGCGGCCTTAGCATCCTCCAGGGCAAGCATGGCCTCGCCATTGACCAGTTCGTCTCTCTACGCACCGTCCTCGCCGACGGTAGCATTACTACCATTGACGAGGACTCGGAACTGTTCTGGGCCATGAAAGGCGCAGGCCATAACTTCGGCATCGTCGTGTCGGCCACCTACAAGATCCACGACGTAGAGCACCAGAATTGGGCGTTTACGGCCTTCACGTATGCCGGGGAGGCTGTCGAGGATATCTTCCAGGCACTTAACGATAACTTCAGGGCAGATCAGCAGCCAGCTGATGTTGTGATTGCGGTGGCATTCGAACTGCTGCCCCAGGTCGACCCTGAGAACGTAAGTCATGAGTCTCGTCACGTTACCTACAGTAACGAAAAAAGAGCACTATGTCCGACAAGAGAGAGTTTGTGGCAGGACTGACCTGTACATGTAGCCGGTTATCATCGTTCTCGTCATTCAGGAAGGCAAGGATGCCCTCGATCCCGTCTTCGCCGAGGTCTTCACGAATCTCAACCCCTTGGCGACTCAAACTGAAATTATGCCCTTCGACAAGCTCCCAATCGTCCTCTACGCCAACCTCGAGGCAGGCCCCTGCCAACGCGTCGGCCTCAACTACTTCCGTCACCCCCAGTCCATCAAGGAATACAACGTCGCCTCCCAGCGTGAGCTTTATGAGCTCTTCACCGACACCATCCGCGCCGTGCCAGCCCTGAACGGCTCCCAAATCCTCATCGACCATTTCCCTACTCAGGGTGTACAGGCCATCGCCAGCGAGTCGGCGGCGTACCCACATCGCGATAAGAACATCTACTTTGCGCCGACGATAGCATACATGCCTGACGGACCCGAGCTCGACAAAGAGGCAATGAAGTTTTCATCTCGGATCAGGGAGATTGTACACAAAGGCACAGGAGAGGACAAGAGGAGCGCTTATGTCAATTATGCATTCGGGGATGAGAGCCTGCCGGAACTATTTGGGGAGCCGTGGCGCATCGAGCGGCTGCGGGAACTGAAGGAGAAGTACGATCCCTATGGAAGGTTCAACTTTTATGCCCCAATTGAGTAAAGAAGAAGCAACTGAATGCCATACTATACCTGAAGACGCCTTGAGAACATGCTGCATTTCCTGCTTACGTATTATTCATATCTTTGATCCGATATATGTGTACTGCTAGAGTAAGACATAACATCTCAAGAGCTTGGCCAAGATAGAAACACCACCTTGTGCGCCTTGCTACCGGCAAGTCAAAGAATTAATCCCTAGATAACGCACGGAAGGCACTGCTGGAGAAGACGAGCCCTTCTTACTATCGACACTAACTAGACTTTCTGCCGTCCCACACGCTGATCCAACGCGTGCACGAGGTACTCCAATGAGTGCCTTAAGAACAGCACCATTTGCAGTATACTACAGCCAAATAGTCAACAACACACCTTAGCAGTCACAGGCTTTCAGTTTAGGGCAGCTTGGCTCATCACTGTCAGCCAGTCATCAATCAAACGGTGCCTATGGAAGTCAGCCACCCCTACGCTAACTGACGCGGCTCTGATACACTTTAGAGGTTGTGTGGCCATTCAACCAAGATGCATCTGCGCTGTGTGTGGGTGTCACGTGCTGGTCACGTACACGCACGGGTACGATAGCGATAAGATAGTATTGATAACGCCGCAGCCAATCAGGCTACGCGCACACGATCCGAGGAGCAGCCGCGCCATGCCTATTTAGGCTAACTAACTAGCTACCTAAGGACGTTTAAATTAATTATCTTTTTCTACCTATTTAATCTACCTTTTAGTATATTAGAGTGGTAGTAATTCTAGACTCCTTTATTAATTAATAACCCTTAAGTAATTACTTTATTAATTATAGTTATCTTCCTAGCGATTCCCTATAACTCATTCCCCTTATATTCCTCCGCGCGCTTATTTAATCGACTCTTAGGGGCTATAACGAATCGCGTAGCGGCTTATATCACCTATATAAGATAAATCTCGTCTAGGCCCGATCCCCCGTAAAAGGATTAGCCTACGGAATAAGGTCGCGATTAATTAATTAATTAATTAAATATAACGTGATTAATAAGCGAACCGCCTAAACAAGCGAACCGCCCACTTTCCTATTATTATCTATTATTATTATTTAATCAATTATTCTATAATAACTACTAATATTAGATTAAAGGAATAAAGCTAACGTGGTCCACCCCTAAGCGACGCACACCCCTAACCGACGCACTTTTCCACGCGTCGCATATTTCCATCTTATACATAGTATTCCTCTATAACTAACAATAGTAACCCTCTGTAAAGAAAGCTAGATTATCCTAGTAATTAAAGCTATTCGGTAAGATAAAAGACTTAGCCGCTAGAAAGCCATAGTAATCTATAGAGTACCCGAAGCTACGCTTCGCTATAAAATAAACGGACGAGTACTAAAGCTCGAGTCATATTATATAGCTTATCGATTAATAGTTACTAAAGAGTAGGTAGTTATTCGATATATATTAGACCTAGATACGCGAGGATTCGCGCCCCGATACGCTAGTATTAAAGATATAGCTAATTTATTACTCGCGGGACGCGATAGAGGACGCGTCGGTAAGCACTAAGCCGAGAAGTTCGTTAAGCGATAACTAGAACTTAAGACGCGTTTTAATCGCGTATATAACTTTTAGAGAGCCCTCTACGAAGATCTAGGGCTTATTCGCGCGTGGTTTAAGCTTATATATAATATAAGGGCGAAATACGGTATCCACGACTATAACTTCTATAACTTCAATAAGACCGGCTTTGTAATAAGCATTATCTACGTATCTATAGTAATAATACACGCCGATCGACGTAGAAGATATAAGGTAGTTTAGCCTAATAATCGGGAATAGGCGATAGTAATTAAGTATATTAATAACGAAGGGTAGTGCCTCCCGCCGTTTCTTATTATTTAAGGCGTGTATTACTTTACTAACTAATATATAGAGGGCGGCCTCTTACTCGACTAGGCTATTAAACCAACCTCTAATAGGTAGATAGATAATAAGACCGGCCTCGAATAGATTAAATATTTCGATAAGTATATAAAGTCTCGTATAAAGGGTATATATCGGATAATTATACTCGATAGGCATAAGAGCTATTAGTCGGCCTAGTTCGAAGCCTTCTATAAAGAGAATAATATTATTACTATTAGCTTACTTACTTACTCGTCTTATCTAACCTAATTACTCGATATTAAGTATTTTAGTGCCTTAAAGAAAGCATACGGTCGGGAAATCGAGTACTTTATTAGAGCGTATATTAACTATATTACTAAGGTCGAGTTCTTCCTCGCCTTTAAAGCCGCTTACTTTACCGCTATAATAGAGAGTAATAATAAAGGAGGTTTTAAAGGTATAAGCCTAGTACCTTTCGACCCTAAAGCTATAATATCTAAGCTAGATATTAAGTTACGGACGCTAACACTAACTAGTCCCCCTTCCGTAGCTGCCGATCCTTAGTGCTCCTAGACGCCATAGAACCTAATAGAGGTAGTGATGCACTAAAGGCAGATCAAACAGGTGGAAAAAGATGATCAATTCAAACGTCCTTGGGCAGCCAGTCGGCCAGCCTAAATAGGCATGGCGCGGCTGCTCCTCGGATCGTGTGCGCGCAGCCTGATTGGCTGCGGCGTTATCAATGCTATCTTATCGCTATCGTACCTATGCGTGTACGTTACCAGCACGTGACACTCACACACAGCGCAGATGCATCTTGGTTGAATGGCCACACAACCTCCAAAGTGTATCAGTTACCTATAGTTATAGAGAAGTAATCCGGTAGTTAATTAGCGCAATAGCTATTTAGCGTGGATAGATATAATAACGCGATAATCACTATTTAACTAGAATAAAGCGAATATTCGCGACGACTTAGCCTCTAAAGAAGCCTTATAGAAGGATATAAGCGAGTTAAAGTAAGTAAAGATTATAATATTAACCGAGAAGGCTTTATAACCGGGTATACGATATAAATAAGGAAAACGAATTATCGCTAATATTATATAGAAGATATTCGAAGTAAATTGAAAGAAAAATAAAACCTATTACGGAAGAAGAATAGCTAAAAAAATATACTATAGGAATATAGGAAATATTACTTACTATTTAAGGAAACCCTAGAAACAGGACTACCGTTATATAGCCGATAGGATCACGAAATCTATCTTAAAACTAGTACTTCGATTAAGCACTAAAGACTCTATAATCTTAACGGAGAATAACTTAAAGTATTACGAGAATATATCGATAAAATACTTAAAAAGGGCTATATTCGACTATTTACTTCGGAAGTAAGATATCCTATTATATTCGTACTAAAGAAGAATAGTAAGCTACGACTAGTCGTAGACTATCGGTAGCTTAACGATATTACGATTAAAGACCGGACACCCTTGCCGCTTATTAACGAGCTTAAGGATAGACTTTACGGTAAGAACTAGTTTACCGCTCTTAACCTAAAAAAAGCCTATAACCTAATCCGTATAAAAAAGGGAGATAAATAGAAAACTACTTTCTATATAAAACTCGGTCTATTCGAATATTTAGTAATATTATTCGGCCTTACTAATACTCTAGTTACTTTCTAACGAATAATAAAGAATATACTTAAGGAGAACTTAGATATATTCGTTATAATATATTTAGACAATATCTTAATCTTCTTAGATACCCTTAAAGAATATAAGGAATATATTTACTAGGCATTAAAAACACTCTAAGATATAAACCTCCTAATAGACTTAAAAAAGAGCGCGTTTTATATATAAGAAACCGTCTTCTTAGGGTATATTATTCGACTAAACGAGATCCTAATAGAATAAATAAAGATTAGCGTAGTTAAGGACTAGCCCGAACTAAAGAATAATCTTAAGGAAGTATAAGTATTCGTAAGCTTCGCGAACTACTATAGGCGCTTTATACGTAACTTCGTAATAATCGTGATATTACTAATAAAGCTTATAAAAAAGGAAGTATAGTTTAAATAAGGAAACGAATAAAGATAGGCGTTCGAACTATTAAGAGATGCTATTCTCTTAAACACTATCCTTATAATATTTAACCTAGAGAAACCACTCGAACTAGAAACCGATACGTCGGATTATACTATAGGAGTATAAATTAGCTAACGCGATAAAAATAATAATCTATAACTAATCGCTTTTTTTTAAAGAAGCTCCACGGCGCGGAACTAAACTACCCTATATATAATAAGGAATTCTTAGTAATTATATTCGCTATAAAAGAATTTAAGTATTATATACTAAGGACTAAGTTTATAACTAAAGTCTATACCGATTACTAGAATATTACTTACTTCGCTACTACGTAAGAGCTTAGTAAATAGCAAATCCGTTATATGGAATTCCTAGCGGACTACGATATTAAGATTATCTATCGGAAGGGATCGGAAAATAATAGAGTAGACGCACTTAATCGCTAACTAGACTACGATACTAAAGTACTAAAAGCTAGGGGCTAGATACTTTAGAAAAATAAAGAAAGAAATTACATATAAATATTACTTAACCTTCTTATGTATAGAGTTAAGGTAGATACTACGTACTACGATAAAATACTAGACTAAGTATCTAAGTATATAAAGGAAATACCTAACGATTATATAATAGAAATAAGAAAAGGACCTACTAGGAATAGATTACTCTAGATACCACCGCCGCTACGCGATAAAATCTTAACTAATATCTATATATACCCTACGGTAGGATATTAAGGAGTTAGGAAGACTCTTAAACGAATTCGACGAACGTACGATTACTAAGGAATTAAAGCAGATATCGCACGTATCGTCTGGTAATACGAAGATTATATACGTAGTAAGGCTACTCGATATAAACTATACGGAGAATTAAAGCCACTACTTATAATTTTAAGGCTATAGGAATTTATAGCCTTTAACTATATTACGAAGCTACCTAAGTTAATCGAACTAAGATCTAACGTCGAATATAATAGTATATTCGTTATTACGGACCGAATAAGCAAATTTAGATATTTCTTATTATATTAAGAA